TTTGATGCTAGAATGTTTGTAGTTTCCATGTCCATATTTATTTTTACCCGCCGTTGCCACACTGCTAAAAAAACATAATATTTATAGTCGTATATTTTGAGTTTCTCACCGGTTCAGCCGCCAAGAATTTTTTGAAGGCCTCAAGAAAAAAGGTGTTTTAAAGCCAACATCTAAGATCAGTTTGACCAATTTGTGGGATATTGTGATGCAATTCTTGGATCTCAATTTTCTTAGTGACGATAAAAAGGAAGGTGTTGGGACCCAGCTGGAATCATTTTTCATTGTTTTATATCAAAAGTGGAAAAAAATTAAGAATAATTAGCTAGAAATTACATTCGCCGCACTGTGCGCCCCTGTGGTAATTTAGTGAACCCTTACTTACCTCTTTACGTACCCCGTGACCGCTCTTTCAAACAAAGATCTATAAGGGATGATTTTCCTTACCTCTATATACCCACCATGATAAAAAAAAAACACCGGACAGTTTTTTTTATGAAGTATTAGCTTTTTTCATTAAATATATCCTTTTAGCGATAGAATTATTGAAATACGAAACAACTATCTTTTAAATTGTAGACTTTCTAAAGTATTAAATGCTTACATAGTCGCATTTGTTTATTAGTCAACGAGGTGAAATAACCCATTTAATTTTTTATGCGATCTATATACCAGTTTTAATATCTTAAAATGATATATTGCTCAAGGTTTCCTATCGAATGACTAAGTTGAAAAGTCTATAGAAATGTTCGATTTCATACTCCTATTATTAGAATTGTATCAGTTGAAAATACTGGTCAGTAGCTTAAATCTTATTAAATTATATATAATTCAAGGACACATTCAAGAAAAAATATAATGTGTTATTGACAAGATATTTTTGGCAATGAACTGAAAATAGCAAATAATATGAGTTTTAATGTATTTTTGAGAATACTTATTGATATTAAAATAACACACTTAAAAATCATAATATCTGTTTTATGTAAAAAAAAGTAAAGTAAAGATTTCAGCTAACGTCTCCTTTTTGCTGCCAGGGCCAATCTGGACGGGGCCTATTATTATTACTATTTACAGAGACAAATGTATCAGTAGTTTATTGGGAAAATAAAAAAAATAATTCACCACAATACACCAAAACAATTTTACTTTTGCGTTTCGCTAACCATGTTACCAGCATCAATAATAAGATGATTAAAACTAAGATTTAATCAGGTTTTTTGGTATATTGTGGTGAATCAGTGTTTTATTTCGCTGTTATAACACCAAAGGTTCCAAACCCCAACTGTAATAGTAGTTTATTACCTGAAAACAAATTTGCCTAAAGCCGGTCCTACACGATGCTTCCAACGTTGGACGCATTATTTGGCCTATGCTTCGACAATATCGCAATTCAAATGCATCTCCTACACGATGTGGTAAATATTCATGTGTCAATGATCAACGCCAAGGCATCTTTGTGTGCTTCATAGATTATCAGGAGGCTTTCGACAACGTTAAACACGATATTCTCCTAAACAGACAGCTCGAGATAGGAATAGACATTATAATCATACAGGAACTCTATTGGAACCAAACCGCGGAGATAAGAGTTATCCACAGACACCTTATCCACAGACACCTTCAATGTGTGTAAAGAGTCCGCCAGGACTGTATACTGTCACCAATACTTTTTAATATATAGGTCGAAAAGATATTTGAAATGGCCCTGGAAGGAGAAAGTGGAGGAATTAAGATTAACGGAGTTCTAATTAACAATAAAGATATGCAGATGATATGGCAATCCTAGCAACTTTAGAGGATCTCCAGCAAATAATAAATAAGACAGAGGACATGGGAAATCGTTTCGGTTTTAAAATCAACGCTACCCAGACCAAACTTATGGTAATAGAACGCCAGCTTATAATCAACACCGCATTGACGGTGGATGGAAATAATATAGAGTACCACGATTTAAATATCTAAGTGCCATGATTAATGAACGATGGGACTGCGAGTAAAAAGTTAAACTCAGAACGAATTATACAAAACCAACATTTTTCAGAACTTAAAAACTTCCTATTAGCACGCAGTCTCCCGCTAGCACTTAGACTACGGTTAGTAAAATGCTACATATATGGCCCATCTTACTATACCGCGCAGAAACGTGGTCTCTCAAGGATAGAACCCAGAACCGCATCGAGGCTTTCGAAATGTGGATCCTCCGGAGACTCTTCCGTGTGTCATGGACCGCACATGCCACCAACGAAGAAGTTTTAAGGACTGCAGGCTATGAACGAGAAATGCTTAATATAGTTAAAGAAGAAAAGTTTCATACCTCGGCCTCGGCCATATCCTTAGAGGAGACAAATATTATATTCCTAAACTAATTCTACAAGGAAAAATAGAGGGACGGCGAAGCCCAGGAAGAAAACAACATTTCTGGCTAAGAAACATATGGGATTGGTGTAACATCAGCGACGCAGCCAGCATATTTCGAAGAGCCGAAAACGGCACTCTACGCATTATATGAAGAGTACAGACAATCGCCAACGTGCGGCTAAACACAAGATACAGGAAGAAGAAGAACGCGGAGATTTTGTGTAAGGTTTGATGTTTTTTGTAATTTTCAGTTAAGTTTAAACAAAATATCTTGATAACATGGCAATATGTGTAATAGATTAGATTTAGAAGAACGAAAGCACAGAAAAAATCGGGTAGTTCTCTCTTGCAGAAGTCTTACAGCACTGAAAATATTTGTACTTATTTGTTGTCACATATTAAACGTTTTGTAAAATAATTCAAGTGTAAAAACTGAAAAGACAGATAACCAGCGTCAAAATAGAGCAATGTTGAATCGAGAATACGATTTTATGGCTTGATAATTTATAATGATTTATGATCACATATAAGGTATACGAAATGTAAAACCAATATCTTAAACCTGTATTATGTATTTTTTTAATATTCGCCAACAGTAAACCATTTAATTTTAAATTAAGGATATGCCGGACATGAATTAATCCTGAAAACAAATTGGCAACTTGTTTCTGATTACATTGTGAGTACCTTTATGTTTTTTGATGATCTAATTTTCACGCTGAATTTGTAGTCCAAACATTTAAGAATATTTCAATAAAAAATAAAGAATATAAACTAAACCAACTAAAAAACTTAATGTTAAAATCAAAAAAAAAATCCAAACCACTGTCAAAAAATTCTTTATTAGTGACCAGTTTCGGCAATTCCAATCATCAACAGAAATTTTGTCAAAAACAGCTGTTCGTTTGACTTAATGTGTAAAAAAATTATATAGTATGTCCCCGGATTGGCTCTGCAAGAGAAAACACTTTTTTATTATTGACATTTTAAAAAAATGCATTCTTCAAAAAAATTTTTTGCTTTTTCTAAAATTGTTAATCCCGTTTGTACTTTCCCAACTTTCCATACAGTTTTAGAGAAAATTAAAAAAACCTCTACCTAAAAAAAAACCCAGAAACACGTCTATGAGGTTTTTTTCGCAAAAAAATTTAGAAAATTCGGAAATTTTAGTTAAAAACATAATTTGTTGATAACATGGCAACATAGGCAGTAGGTAGATTAAATTTACAAGAAAGAAAATCCAGAAAAGATCCAGTGGGGTTCTCAAGATTTGAGCAAAAAATATTTTTTGGAAATTTTCAAAGTGAAATAACTAACGGACTTATTTGAAAAACGGTAAAGAGAAAATATGTCTCTTTTGTTGAGCCCGTTTAAAATCATTTTCAAATCTCTAGATTTTTTTTTTCCCCGATTTATCTAATTTGAATGGACTACTAAAGTTACTGGATTATTATTCCTAACGAAATAATTTCTATCCAGCCTTGAAAAGCTCACAGTGTATTTTCATACGAGCAACCTTTTTGGTGGTACGTACTACAAAAATCCATTTACCGAATTACTACTAATAAAAGCAAGGCCTTGAGTGGTTCTTTTAAGGTACTAAGGTTAAGTGGTAATTAGTTATATATTTTCTCCGGCCGGGATTGGTATTTTTAGCACTTTAATTGATGCAAAAGAATGATATGACAGCATCGAAAGAACTCAATCTTACTTTGTATCTGATGCTTTAACGATATAAGTAAATATTGCATTGTGCGGCATGTACTAATAACGCTGCCTTCTTTTTTTTTAAGTACTTCTCAATAGTTGATGAGTATTTTATGTATTACAACAATGGCAATTATTTTTTTGACGTTTCAATTATTAATGTGGTATGTGGTATTATAGAAGAGAGGTATTAATTAAAACCATGAATAAAACCAGTTCAATTTTTTTAGCACTGGTGTTTATGGAATGAAAATGGTGTCCCAAAGAATTTCTATATAAACTACATAAAAGTTTGACTTTAGGGTAGTAAACATACTTAAAAATCCATATACATTAAAACAAAGTCGTTAGTTACATCATTTATAACTCAAGAACGGTTGAACCGATTTTAATCATCACTGATTTGTTGGATTCATCTCAGATTATTTTCTGCTCTAGGTGGTTAATTGTTGTAAAAAGCCGTTACTGCAGGCTTTCATCATCATCATCATCATTTTCAGCATAGTCAACCATGCCAATTATGGTGTAGCTTTCCTCACATACTCTCTTTGTAGTTGGACCAATTGTTGGCTATACGTTATCCCTGTTAATATTCTAATATAATGGTCCCAACACAGGTTCGGTCTTCTTAATTCCTCGTATTAGGTGCTAAGCTGTAATTTTTGTGGTCCATATGTTGTCTGTTCTTATCAGGTGTTCTGCCAATTGCCATTTGAGGGATTTGACTTTGTGGATGACATCTATTACCTGGGCCTTTTGTCATATCCACTCTATTGGTTTGGGTCATATCCACATGACTATGGTTACAGGTGCAACGGAGACTATAGTGACAACCAAGGCTGCCCAACAAGCCAATAGAGAATACGTCATCTTATAGACCAATCTGCCTAATAGACACTAGTGCCAAACTCCTGGAAAGATTAATACTACAAAGAATGGAGGTCCATGTAGACAGCATAGGAGGATTATCACATCGGCAGTATAGATATCGTAAAGGCATATCGACCATTGACGGATTGGATGGGACGGAAATCAAATGGTCCAAAAGCCTCAGGTATCTGGGAGTGCAAATTGATAAAAAGCTGAATTTCAAAGAACACATACATGCAGTAGTGGTAAAGGCTCAAACAACAGTGGCTAAATTAGCAAGAGTAATGCCAAACATCGGAAGTCCAAGGCAGGAGAAAAGGATACTTTTAAATGAAGTGGTCCACGACAGTATTTTGTACGCCGCTCCAATATGGGCAAAGGCACTGGAGGTTAAAAAAGAAAAACAGAAACTTCTATCAGTTCAGCGACGGAGCGCCTTGAGATTTGTTTCTGCCTAAAGAACTGTAGCGGAGCAAGCGGTATTCGTAATCACAGGTATACCACCTGTAGACCTGGTAGTAAAGGAAAGGGCTTATATATATGATCAGAAAACTAGAGGAAGAACAGATAAGGCGGATATCAAAAATGAAGCGAAGGAGATATTATATCAACTGTGGCAAAGAAGATGGGATGAGGCGTACGGTGGAAAATGGACACATATGTTAATCCCGAATATAAGAAGATGGACTGAACGAAAACACGGACAGGTAGACTATTATCTTTCCCAGATACTTAGCGGTCACGGAGCTTTCGAACATTATTTATATCGTTTCAAGAAATGAGCTAGTGCGGCCTGTAAATATTGCAGCAGTGCCATCGACGATATCAGTCACACCATTTTTGAATGCTCGGCCTGGGAACCAGGTAGATTAAAGATCAAAAGGATTTTTAAGGTACCCTTTAAAAAAGAAAACCTAATACCATCTATTGTGGAGGACGAAGATATATGGGACGCTTTCGTGGCGTTTATATCAAAAATTCTACGACAGAATGAGCTGGATCAACGGAGGGTTGAAGAATGACCTAAGTCTAACGTAGAGAGGAGCATCTGCGCCGAAGTAATGCGTGAGCAGTTCCAGCGCAGTTTGTCTACCAAATAGGGTGGAATTTTTTTAGTCGGTAGGAATCCGGCACACCTCGAACAACAGACCAGGCATCTAAGAAGATTTTTCTACCATCCTCAGAAAAAAAAAGTGACAACCAAGGCTAATATTGCCATCAATAGGATAGCGGAGTGGACCAGGCAGAAACGGCTAGAACTGGCACCAGAGAAAACAGAGGCAATACTGCTCACAGGCAAGAGGGCCGTTAGACATGTTGGGGTTGATGTTCTAAACATGGAAATCAGTACCAGGGAGACCATCAAATATCTTATTGTTGTTTTCGACCGAGGGTCTAGAATGACCAAACATGTCGAATATGTTACTAGAAAGGCGGAGAAGACCGTCACATTACTGTGTTGGTTAATGCCGAACAAAGGAGGACCTTCATCGGGCAAACGCAGACTACTTGCAAATGTAGCTATTTCCACGTTGCTCTACGCTGCACCGGTGTGGGGTGGAGCTATCGCAAATATAGAGACATGTGTCAACATGTATTGAGAAGAATGGCTATCAGGGTGTGCTGTGCTTTCCGTACTGTGTCTAGCCTCAGTGGCTGTACTGGTTATTGCAGGAATAGCTCCAATCGAACTTCAGGTGGAGGAAAGGATCATGGGAATAGGAGCAGATAAATGCGCAAAAACTGAGGCCAGACAAAAGACGCTGAACAGTTGGCAAAATAGGTGGGAGGCCATGAGTGAAGTGGCTCAGTGGACTAAACGCCTCATACCAAACCTAATACTGTGGATGAACAGAAAACATGGCTACCACGTCGGTCAGCTACTGACTGGACATGGTTGCTTTCAGGCCTACTTCTGTAGATTTAAGCTGGAAGATACACCGGAATGCCTCTACTGTGGGGATTTTGATGACGAAGAGCACACATTTTTTCAATGCTTCCGATGGCAGGAACTACGCACTACCACGGAAGTGGAAATAGGAGAAAAGATTACCCCTAATAGTCTTCTCAGGCTCATGTTGGCAAGCAAAGAGCACTGGAAACTTATCTCCGACATAGCGAAAAAAGTAATCTCACAAAAACAGAAGAACAGACTGGAGAGCAGGCAACGCAGCTAAGGCAACAGCCAGAGAGTGAGAAGTAATACCTACCGGTGGTTTCTCACTCAACTGGCAGAAACGAAACTAGAGGCGGTTTTTTAGTGGGTAAAAATCCCACACTACCTGCCGTCAGACATCAGGCAGATGTCTTTCGAAGATTTTTCCCCTCTCAAAAAAAAATATCCACATGACTGGTAGTACACATTGGTCGAATGTTTTTTTCTTTAGATAGAATGACATTTTAGATTTAAATACGACTGAGTTAATTCCATATGTACTCCATATTTAATTAACTTAATTCTTCTGTTGATTTCTGGTAGTAGAGATCCCGAGCTGTGTATTAGTTGCCCCAAATATATATATATATATATATATATATATATATATTCTTCTACCGTTTCCAGTGTGCTTATATTCTTCTACCATTTATTAGAATTTCTTTTCTTTTCACTAGTTCGTTCTGCATTAACTGCATTACTTTAGTTTTTGCTAAATTTATTTCGAGACCCACTTTATTGCTGGCTGTATTTAATTCATTAATTTGTGCTTGTAGTTCTTCAGGACTATTGGCAATTAGGACTATGTCATCAGCGAATCTAAGATGGTTAAGATATTCCCCATCTATTTTTAATCCTTTGTTGGTCCAGTCCAGTTGACGGAAGATTTCTTCTAATGTTGCTGTATAGTCTGTCCATCGACAAGATCCTTGACAGTGATAGATGTGTCTGTCATTTTAATTTCAAAATAGTTTATTTTATTTTACATAGAAATAAGTCGGTACAACTGGAACGCATAGCAGGAAATTAATATATTTAAAATTTGACTGACAAGTGATTACTTCAAAATATTGCGAAAAAACTGTATAAAACTGAAAAAATGTAATCGAGTTATTTTATTTAACAAAAAACGGTATGTGTTCATACAAAACAAACAAGAACAAGACAGCACATACCAAAAAAATATAAAAGAGAACTATTTCTTACTTTCAAGCTTTATGAAACTTCCCGCATTTATGATTATATTTATCAATATAACTTATGTACAAATACAAATTTGTAATATTCCACAGGAATAAATAAAACAACATAAATAAAATAAACTATTTTATTAATAATAACACTTACCAAATTTTATAGCTTAAAAGTTGATTAACTAACTTTAATCTTAATTTTTTTAAACCAGTACCTTTTGACATTATTTTTCTGCAGTATTAAAATCCATTATTTACCTGTCGTGTGATGTCGATATTTTACAGCTACTCCAGTTTTTATTATGTGTTTAGTATTGTCCTTCTACCATATACGAGATGCACTTATCTACGACGAGATGGTATACGAACTTTATTGATGGTAACTTTATTGGTGTATAAGACTTTATGCCTGGGCAGCGAGTATTAACCATAAACTGTGCTCTGGGTCTACAGGTAATTTTCACGCGATTTTTCCTCCACTTGACTTCAAAAGACACAAAACACACGTAATAACACGGATCAAAATGCATCATCTTCCAAAACGCTGGGTATTTGACAAAAGTTGACACAAAATTATAACCTATAATTTGGCAAGACTTTGACAAGCGTCAAAAATCTAAAGGCGAGTTCATATGCATCGGCGTCCGTTTGTCGTTCATCGTTCCGTCAAACCAATAAAATCTGAAATATAATCTGTCACTTTTGAAATAAACCAATAAAACTGGTTAAAAACAACAAGAGACGACGCATGACGGATTTATATTTAAACCCATCCATAGTTAACTTAAAAATTATTAGAATTTTTTTTAGTAAAATAAATAGATTGGTATGGGACGTCATCTGCTTTATTTCTGTCATCGTCTGTCGAAATCTTACCTGAGAAAAAAAACAGAGTTATATACAGCTTTGTGGATACCACGTCTCCCTGTCGTACTCCTTTGCCAATTGGGATCTACTGTTTATATATTTATAATTTTTTTTTCCTAAAATATTTTAATTAAAAGAAAATGTGTAAAAGTGGGCAACGCTGTGCCGGCCAAGCTTAATCGCGTCACTAAAAGTTTATTTGATTATTATCAACTATAGATATGTTTATTCCATAATCGCTATATGCAAGTTAAACGAGCTGAACAAAAACAATATTTTCATCTCGCATACCAATCTGCATTATCTCCGCCTTAGTGGTCATCTCGTCCACACGTAAAATCGTTCCAAACAATGACATCATGCCACCGGCCATCTCGTTATTATTCTATTATTACTATTACTATTTCAATCGATCCGGCGGCTACCGCAATTAATTTTTTTCAATCAAATGTTTATTCATAGAGAGAAACCCACTCCAATCCCGGTTTATGGAGAGTTTTATAACATCCGGGTCATCGCAGAAGATGTGTACAAGATGCATCGGGGATGCGGAGGACGCGTCAATTCAATAAACTGCAGTTTTATGAGCCCATAAACGATAGAATGTGCAGTCGAAACAAAAGAGCTGATGTGCGGACCCGACGCGATGCGAGCCATTCCGCTTAATCGCAGCATATACGGGGTGGTCCGAACTAGAGGTGCGCAAAGATTGAATGAGTATTATAAATGAATCGTGTGATTCGATTCACTGCTTAGAATACGGTTCGTTCAACTGAATCGTAGCCAGTACGGATCCATAAGAGTCGTGAGAATTGATTAATTGCTTGCAATACGGTTCGTTCATTTGAATCGTGACCGGCACGGATCTATAAGATTTGAACTATGAACCGTAAAAAAAAATCGTGAGAATTGAATCGGATCACAATGCGATCGTTCTGGATTAGGTGAGGTACTGCCAGTTATGATTCTTATTTTTATGAAACGTAAATTGTGCATGTGGTTCGTTCAAATGAACGAATCGTAGTAGTCAATTCAAGATGAGAAATTGACTCGTGTGAAATTCACTCAGTAATCGCTAAAAAGAATCGTAATGCCTATCACTAGTCCGAACTGTATTCCGGTAACTTCGGCAGCATATTCTGCAGATATAAATAAGTAAAAAATTTCGTATAAATGTATATCCTAAAATGCTTAGTTTCGGAGATACAGGGTGTAGAAGTTTCATTTTTATTTCGATTTTTTCCGAATAATTAATTAAGTAAAAAGTAGCGCCAATTTTTGGATGATGAAATTGTTGTCTGGGTGTTTTTTGATGCCACGTACATATTTTTTTAAATGGTTTGAAAATAATAACTTTTCGTCCGTACCTGTATAAAACTACTGAGTAAAAAAACATACATTTACGACGTTTTTTGCGTAAAAAAGGTCTCTTGGTAAAAATTGCTATGAGTAATGGTTCTCG